ATTCCTTTCCATGCATCCTGCTTCCACTTTGGATCCATCTGATTGCTCTAGAAGTTCTAGATGTCTGTAACATGTTTTGGATGTTGGAGCAGAACCATCAGGCAGGGCATCACCCTCACTTCCTCCTGCCCAGTTTTGCTTCTTCTTGCTCTGCTTGGCCTCCCACCTGTTGCAACTGAAGAGAACACTTGAAATTGTTTTTCTGGTTGCATCACTACATATCTGCATGGGGAGACTCCAATCTCCCATTGGGAAAGACCCCATTGGGAAAGACCATACCCAGAAAGACACTTTCTTATAGGCTATTTCATTCAGCGCCTTGCCTGAATAATTCAGTCGCTGTTTTAACACAAAACATTTCAGTAGGCAAATTCTCATTGTTAGGAATTTTATCTTTAGTTCTAGGCTGTTTCTCTCCTTGGTTAGCTTCCATCCATTATTTCTTGTCCTGCCTACTGGTGCTTTGGTAAACAACTTGGCCCCCTCTTCCCTGTGGCAGCTCTTTAAGTATTTGAAGATGTTGTTATGTCATCCCTGGTCCTTCTTTTCTCTCTGATCTATGACCTTTAACCACTACATGGCACTTTTCTTTTTAAAAAGTGGGGTGTGGTTGTGCAGGCATGCTTCCCTGAATTTATTAAAAAAAAAACCACATCCTTCCCCTTTTAAAAATCATATTAGAAAAGACAAAGCAAGCTGCCTGGACAGAGATTTGACCATGTGGAGGAGCTCTCTCTACATCACTAAAACATTTTAAGAGGAGACACAACGTCAGATTAAAACTGAATTTCTGAACTGGACACTGGTTGACATGGCTGTGGAGGTATAAAGCCAGGAAAAAGGCTGAATTTCTGCAACGTGGATCTCAGTCTGGAAAGCGGTTTTACAGAAAGTTTTGAGGGATCGTGGATTTTTTTCCTTCCACCCATTCCTTTGCTGAAGAGATGATTATGATCTTGTACGAAACATGACAAAATGTAATCGGGCATCAGAAATGACCAGTGTGGTCAGCTAAGTCTGAATATTAACCTTGTGAAAGGAAGCACGTACAGTAGATTGACATGTCGCACAAAGAAACATTTTTTGTAATAAATATCTGCGCCAAATTTGACTTGGGGTGCTTGATTTGCACCCCTGCCCCAAGCGTTAGACTCTCAACTTTTGCAGAAATAATCAGTTGGAATCAGCTTTCTCGTTCCAAGTATGACACACAACAATTCCTGGGGATTTATTCCTGGAGGGTTAAATGCTTAAAGGAGGTTACGACTGCTTTAGAAATGTTTTTGTCTGAATTTTTGCAAGTCAGTTGTTCAAGTAAGAAGACTGGGAGAGAGTCTGTTCCCTGATATCAACAGATCTTTAGTGAAGATCCTCTCCTATCATATATGAGGATGGAAAGAGATCCAGGAGGATCTTAGACCAACCAGCTAC